TCCTTTCTTATTGTGTGGGGCTCACTATCTGTTTGGTTGAACATGTATTATTTGCCTTTCAGCTGGGGATTAGCATGGATTGGAATGTTCCGTTTAGATGCCTTCATCCTCACCATTGTCACCATCATCATCATCATCCCCAAACACATGGTGTGTCATCTTTAGGAGCTGTCCTAGGAAGAATGTGAAATAAATTAAGATGGGTATAGTAAATACCCATAAGAATGTTTAGGCTTAACTAGATAACATGAAGTAGATAGACAAATAGAGAAGCAGAAAGGGATAAGCATCCAAATATTAGCATCCTTAAATAATGCATTGCAGAATAGTTCCAGTGGCAAGTGGAATTTCTGAGGGTGGGGATTACGCTTTTCTCTAGGCTAAAGAGAAAAGGTTCCTGGAGGTGGTGCCTCTGAAGTCCACTGACGGAAGACAAGGACCTCTGTTATTTTTGTAAAATTTTTCTGCCAGCTGCAAACCGTTGGGTGGTAAATATCCAATATTTTTAATGCCAAATGGCACAGAAAATCTATTTGTCTGGGAATATATTTCTATTGTTTTACATAAATTAGGCTTCTCCATAACTGATATATTTATGATTTCAATTTAACAGATGATATTCAGTTACAGATAAGAAAGACCTAATATATTTCATGCTTTTTCTGGTGATTCTCAATAGTAGTGGGCCATGTTTACCTGAGACATTTTGATGCCCTAATTTAAGTCGGTGTTCCCCTCTTCCCACTCCTAAATGAGAATCACTGCTTCAGTCAGTCACTCTTCTTGTTAGGCGTGTTTGTTGAGCACCTCAAGTGTGTCAGCTCAGATTCCAATCTCAACCCCCTCTATGCCAGTTTCCTTACATAATTTTAATCTGTACAGAAAACCCAATAGGTAGGTAACAAATAAAGCCCAATACATCTTCCAAACTTAATCCAGGTGGCTTTGAACCAGTGATTAGAAAAACCATATCTGTCTTTCACTCCAAAGATTGTGGTAAGTTCACCAAATCACTAGAATTCAAAGTCTCCATCAAAGATGATTTTGTTTGAGTTATTATAAGTTTTGTTAACCCCATGCCACCTAATATTCTGGGTTTTCCATTGGGGCATTTTGCATGGAAATGACAATAAAATATTTTTACTTTTTGCTCTTTTGCTTTGAAGGAATCACCACGGTCCTGACCATGACCACCCTCAGCATCAGTGCACGGCATTCCTTGCCCAAAGTGTCCTACGCCACCGCCATGGATTGGTTCATAGCTGTCTGCTTTGCTTTTGTATTTTCGGCTCTTATTGAGTTTGCTGCTGTCAACTATTTTACTAATATTCAAATGGAAAAAGCCAAAAAGAAGACATCAAAACCCCTTCAGGAGCCCCCCGCTGCTCCAGTGCTGAAGGAAAAGCCCGCTGAAGCACCTGTGCAGGTATCTGACTGCCTCTCCTTCAGGTTAAAATGTCAGCTTCTTGGGCAAATTTGCATTGTGGGGACAACCTGCAACCTCAATAGTCACAAGGGCAATTTTTAAGGTGTTTAAAAATCCAGAAAATATAAAAGGATATTCGTCGACTTAAACTATAAAATGATGATTAGTAGCTTAAAACTTAAACAACTCAAAGATGTAAGTTCTTTGAAAGTTTTTTGCAGAATTAGAAGTTTTTACAGAAAGGGGTCAAATCTCATGTATACTTTAGGAGGAACGTGTGGACATCTTTGATGGGGTTGGAAAGGCATTTTAGTAGATTTCACTGAACAAGGCAGAGAAACCTTTCTTTATATAGATGCATGGTAAAAGTACCCCACATTTGGGGGTGGTGCCTATGGCTCAAAAGGGTAGGGCCCCGGCCCCATATGCCAGAGGCGGTGGGTTCAAACTCAGCCTTGGCCAAACTGCAAAAAAAAAAAAAGTACCCCACATATCTCACCTCATGTGCACAAGGCAAGGGTATACTTCAAAAGAACCTTAAAGAGTGAATTTTAAATGTCTTATCACAAAAAATAAGTGAGGTGATGTCTGTGTTACTCAGTGTGATTTAAGCATCCACGTTGTATATCAGATCATCTCATGGTACCCCATAAATGTCTACTATTGCACACCAGCCTGGACACAAGTTGGATTTACTTCCTAGTGGCCTGGTAGTATGGGGAGACCAGAAAATTATTAGTGAAATTTATTAGTGAGAGTTGTAGAGAATTACTATAGATAAATAATAGACACAGACAGAGAGTTTTAAGAGCATCAAGACTTGGGAGATGGCACACACTTCCTCGTGAAGCTTCCAGGATGCTTCCCTGAGTATCGGGCTAGCTCTGTATTTATTTCATAGATCAGTTTTACAGTCACAAATCTCATGAAAGCCAGGCAGATGATCTGTCAAGGTTCTTGCTACACTTGCGTTCCTTCTAACTAGACTGACTCGACTGACTAACTCTGCAGCTGGTTACATTAATACATGGATTTACTTATTACTTGTTACTGTTTCAAAATAGTATGGTCTTAATGTGAACGAAGTTTTGATAAGGAAGGCCATCAGTGGCCGACTCAAGGACCAAATCCTAGCTGACCCACAGTCACACAGATGTGATGTTTTAATATCCTGACTGCCCTGTGTCCAAACAGATGACTTCTCCGGCCCAATCAAGGTGACAGTAGAAAGGAGATCTTCATTCTCCTTATCCGATTTGGAACAAGTCTTACTGAGTTGGACACAGTTTAAAAAATTTACATTATTAACTCCCCAAAACCAATCCCTCAGAGCACACAGCCTTGCCCTGGAAACAGCTTCAAGGCCTCCAGCCAGCTGCTGTGTCACAGCTGCGGGGGGTGGGGGGACATGTAACACACCAGGCTTCAGCAATAGTGAAGTGACAGGATCTCACACTTCGTGCTCAGAGCCAGGAAAATGGATCCAAATCAATTCCTCATAACTGTCTCCCTTTGTCTGGACTCTGATCCCAATAATATTTCTAATCTACTAACAATTAAATATTAGTTTCAAATTTATAAAGTCATTATTACTAGTAATGCAAACACATCAAGATATGACTCCTCCCTTAAGTATGCCCACACGTACTCTTCAGTGTACAGGTATGATTTTAATTAAAATTAATTTAATTTTATAAAGTACCCCATGGGGACTGTCTGTGGCAGTGGTTCTCAACCTGTGGGTTATGACCCCTTTGGGGATCGAATGACCCTTTCACAGGGGTCACCTAAATACATCCTGCATATCAGATATTTATATTACGATTCATAACTGTAGCAAAATTACAGTTATGAAGTAGCAACAAAAATAATTTTATGGTTGGGGGTCACCACAACATGAGGAACTGGATTAAAAGGTCACGGCATTAGGAAGGTTGAGAACCACTGGTCTGTGGCCTGTGGTCTTTCATGAAAGAAGAAAATAAAACCAATAAACCAGAAGACCCATAGTTGTAGGTGATGCGCATTCTAGATGGAGAATTCTTACTTTAAACGGACAGATCTAAGAGGATGTGGAAAGCCTAATGAGAACTATTATACATTTGTCACATCCATTGGTGAGTCTGTGATTTAAAAAATAAAAAGCGTCATTTTTTCTCGTGGAGTCCAATTGTAGAAATTAAGATCTTTCTGAAAACTGAAAAGCATTTTCTTTTCCCTTCTCTTGGTCATCTTCTCTTCATCTTCAGACTCTCCTCTGCTTCTTTCTTATATCAGAGGACAAATGTCTGGGTGTTGTCATTTACACAGACTACTGTAGTTGCTACAAGTGGTGTCCTAAAACTCCTTTTGTGGGTGCGTACCCAAATCAAAGTGCACAGAAATCATCAGCTTTATTCTCTAAAGATGGCAGGTCAGTCTCTTATTCCTTCGCTCACCTCATCCAACAAATATATATTTCATGCCAACTCATGTACCAAACCTTCTTAAGGATCTAGAAATCAATAGGGTACCCTAGACCCCAACTAATATCCTGATATATGGAGCTTACATATATTTGTGTGGGGCTAGGGAGGCAAACAATTTTTAAAAACAGACATAACATGGGGGGCACCTGTGGCTGAAAGGAGTAGGGCTCTGGCCCCATATGCCAGATGTGGCAGGTTCAACAGCCCTGGGCCAAAAACTGCAAAAAAAAAAAAAAAAAAAAAAAAAAAAAACCAGACATAATAAGACAGATGATGACAGGTGACGTGTTAGATGGTGATGGTACGATGATACTGCTAAAGCACTAAAGAAGGCAGGAAGTGCTTGCGTGGGGTGCAAAGGAGGAGATTCAGTTCTCAGAGAAAGGAAGTCGGTTGAATAAATCAGGTTAGGTGTCCATCTGGCAGGGATTAAGTAGTCAGGTTTTGTGATTTGTAGCTCTGCTCCTAGGGCTCTATTGGTCTTTAAGAATGGCATGTGAACAGGCAGGCAAATAGATGTCTTTATAGCAGGTGTATTTAGAAGATAGCTTATATCTTCCTCCAAATGAATCAGTTTAACCAATACAACTATCAGAATGTATTTTTTATTCTGTTTTCAGAATAGAAGTACAGACTGGGTAAACTCTGCCTTCTGCTGTTGTTTTGCTTTGCTTTATGTTCAAACCTTGATAGAAGAATGCTATTTATGGCTCCCATTGAAAAAAAGAGTCATGAATTTATTTATTGTACTAATTCTGTTTTCTAATTATTGATTTATGGTTTTAATTGAATTTAATCTTTCTGCAGGTAAATCTTGTTACTCCTTTTCTAACTTATTGAGTTTTCTTTTTATTAATTTATTTTTACTGTTTCTCATTTAACAATAAACTTCTCTTAATTGCATTAAGATTTCCTTTGCAAACACTTTTGACCGTAATTCATAATTTTTAATATATGAGATCATCATCATAATTTGCTAAATATCCTATATTTATGCCACTAGTGTCCTAATATGCCACTACTGATTTTAATACCCCCTTGCTAGTGTTTGATAGATCCCCCAATAAGAAGTTTAGCAAAGAATTTTAGATTTAAACTTAACCATTCAACATTTGGATTTAACAGACATCTACAGAACATTTCATCCTAACAAAACTGAATACACATTTTTCTCATCAGTCCACAGAATATACTCCAAAATCGATCACATCTTTGGTCCCAAGTCTAATATGTCCCTACTTTTCTCTATGAGCTAAGAATTATTTCTAGATAATATTAAAATTTTCAAGTGGGATGTTTTTGTTTATTTAATTCCATTGTTAATTTTTGGTTATATGGTATGTTTTCAGAAATATTATCTGTACATATTTGAATGTTATCGATATTTTTCTTATACCCCGAGTTATGCTGAAAGCTTATGAATGCTTGAAGGTAACTGGAAGAGAGTTAATTTTTGGTTATTAAAATAATTTTACTTATAATATTATTTCACTTTTTAAAAATAAACCACCTCTTCTTGAATTTTTTAAATAGGAAGAAATATATAAAATATCCTCCCACTAATGTTATAAGATGATGTGTATATTTTTGCCTTTTAATTATTTTTATTTTATACATGCTGATGTTATTATATTCAATATTTAAAGATTCATTATGGCTATATTGCCATATCAGGCTCAGTGTTTTATCATGAAATAATTTTTTAATTTTTCTGTCTTTTAATATTTTTTCCCTTCAATTTATTTATTCTGATTTTAATGTTTTTATCTTATTTCTGAATATTAACCTTTCTACTACATTTTTATCATTAAATTTTCCTTACTCATCTTACTCTTTCATTCCTCCTGTACTTTGAACATTTACTTATTTATCTGGGCCAGGGCTGGGTTTGAACCCACCACCTCCGGCATATGGGGCCGGTGCCCTACTCCTTTGAGCCATAGGTGCCACTTTTTCCTCCTGTACTTTGAAAGTTATGTATTACATTTTAAAATACATCATCAGTGGTTAATTTTTAAAACAATGAATTTTTTCATCCTGTGGCTTTTTTAATTATGTGGAAATTATAAAACTATATACTGACTCTCCCATATAGCTATTAACTTTCCCCAACCCTAGGTTGCTCCAGGTTCAAAGATCCCAGATTTGGAAACATATAGTGTATATAGAAATGTATGTATAATTTTTTTGTATTCCTAATGAATAGATATAGTTCTTTTTAATTTTTAGGAGGTAGTAAGACTCATGGCACTGGTACTATAATGGAATTTTATAAATACTTGGAAGTATCAATCATAATAAAACTCTTCTTATTAATTTTTAAAGATGGGAAGAGAATTGATAGTCTTCATTTGCTCCCTGATCTATCTCTTGAGACTATAGCAATTGCCACTGCCTATAAATGCTTGGTTGAACTCATTCAGTTGGCTGAGTTCATTCTGCTTCAGTAACTCCATTTTGCAATATGGTCTGCATGCTGTGTGCAAATGGTATATCCAAGGTCAAGAAGATGAAATTTGTGAAGTGAATAGA